ATCTTGGGGTTCCAGCGTTCAAATGTCGGGGCCACATTTGGGAAATTTTGTTGAGCTATGGGAGGGGGAGAATAACGGTACCACTACAAAAATTGAGGGGAAGATGTTTTTCAAAGGGGAAGGAAAAAGTATCATTTGGGAAAGACGAAGAGCTCACGACCTGGACATTCTGTAGGTAATATGCGCACCGCCTTAAAAAACATGAAAAGAAATATTTTACCAACAGCTAGGGGTGCCCTTTCCAATACTATGGCAAAAGATAGGCTAGAGGAAATTGGTCGAAAGTGAAGAATTTAGTCCACTGTTTCATCTAAACTGAGCGTGGGAAAGGTAGTGAAGACGGTCGTCGTTTTTTTGAAAGAACGAGAAAGGGAAGGTGAGAAGTATCATCAGCAGGTAATTGTGTTGACGTTTAGGCGTGGGCCAGAGTTGGTCCACGGGGAACGGGTCGGGGATTTGAAAATTGCCCGCACCGTAAAGGGGAGAGGCCGGAAGCATAGTCAGAGGAGAGCGAAGGTCTGATAAATCGAAGGGGTCAGTCGAGCCTCAGTACCTGAAGCGGGGAGGAAACCACCGGCAATAGGGACAGAGGAAGGGAAAGTCTGAAAGTGGCCCCAAAGACAGGCGGGGTCAAACGGGGGGCGGTACAAAGGGGGCCCGGGGGGACCAGGTTTAGGACTAAGGCTGCCCGGTTAGGTTTCTTCTTTCTTTTTTTTTTTAAGAAAAAAAAAAAAAAGAAAAAAAAATAAAAATAAAAAAAAAAAAAAAAAGGGGGGAAAACCGGGGGGGGGATAGTTCCCAGGGGGAAAGAAAGGGGCCCAAAATCTCCCCCCCGCCCAAGAGGATCGACACCGCTAGTAGCGCAGATGCAGCATGGAACCCGGCCATACCCTACCCTTCATGCCAGTAAACCCCAATCGGGATAGCAAACCTCACATCTGCCGACTCCCCCGGGGGACAAAAGAAGGGCGCCGGATATCCGCCCAAAGCATACCTCCCTTTAGCCACCACCCCCGGAATCCGAAAGGTGGCTTCCCCAAAAACACCCTCGCCCAAAAGACACCCAAAGCTACTCCCGGGGTACCGGGGAAAGGGGTCGGACATCCCAGGCAATCCCGATTCCACCAAACTACCCACCGCCAAGAAAACCCCAACGGAAGGGGTGGACCCCCCCCGGGGTCCTTTCCCTACCTAGGAACTAGCGCGCCGTGGGGGAAAAACAGAAGGCAAAAAGAGGAAGGGGAAAAGGGAGGGGTGAAAGGGGGAGGGGGAGGAAAGGGAAAAAGGGAGGAGGGGGATGGGATAGGGGAGGGGAGAATGGGGGGTAATTAGGTCTTTAGGGACTAAAAATAGCTTGAAATTGAGCTCAGAGTAGCAGAAATGTTCGATTTTTGTTGATGTTCAAAAGTAAACAAATCACATCACGAGTCCAATACATGTCAACCGGTGGGTCTAATATGTGTTCATGAATATGCTGATATTATTTATACAATTACAGTGGACCCTCCCTTTTCGTTGGGCTCTGTTTTCGCTCATTTCCGTTATTGCTGATTTTTTCCATAAAATTATTGGCTCCATTTCCATTGCTTTCCTCCGTTCTCGTTGGTGGTATGGTACATGTTCGAGTGTGCCACGCGCACAACCTCTCACACTCATTCTGAGGAGGCACTGTCGCTTTGTTTATTGGTGAGTAAACATTATCCTGCAAGGCCATAAGAAACATTTCATAATCATTGTTTTTTGCACTTGTTTATTGTGTGTGACTGCTAAATAAGCCACCATGGGCCCAAAGAAAGCTGCTAGTGCCAGCCCATTGATAAGGTGAGAAACACAATATAATTCAAGAAAAAACTCGTAACAAAGTACCAAAGTGGAGGAGGAAGAGAGAGAGGGGAGAATGTGCCTTTTGCAGTGATTCTACGATATGTATGATACTAAAGCAGCAGGAATCGATAAAGGCTATAGTGCCAGCCAGCGATAAAGTGTAGCATTAACAGTGTAGCAAATAAGTTAAGTGATTAAGCGATAGAAAAAGGATGACACGAAACTGACTCCTCTGATGGTATTGGAGGTATATAGGGCCACTGACAAACATATGCCACCCTGCCTACCTTCCACCACCCTAAACCAATGCCAGTACACGTACATTGTTTATGTGAATAGTGTTGGTGGCTTCTACTGCTGCCTACACTACCACTAATATGTACAGCTTTTCTCAGTGGCCCTTATAAACCCAACAACATCACCACCACTTACTCCTCACATACGTAATGACATATCTTATTCATTCTAGAGTATATATCATGTTTGTGTCTTATAAATATTGTTTATTATGTCATATTAGATGAATTGTGATAGATAAATAAGTCGTGAAATACAGTGGACCCTCGAATTTAGTAGTGCCATTTCTGTATGCAAAACTATTTTTATTATCTATAAAATGTATTTTTTGTTAATATTTCCCATAGGAAATAATGTAAATCCAATTAACCCTTTGAGGGTCGACAGGCCCTCTCCGAGACTCGTTCTCAGGGTCGGCCAAATTTAAAAAAAAAAAAAAAAAAATCTCTTATGAAAAGATAAAGAATCTTTTCCCAATCATAATGACACCAAAAGTTTGAAATTTGATGGAAAACTTAAGGAATTATGCTCTTGCGAAGTTAGCGGTCTTGGCGATGTTTACGCATCGGCGATTTTGCCTACTTTGAGCCCCATTTTCGGCCAATTCCACTGTACTAGTCAACAAAAAACATGGATATTTCGCTAGAACTCCATTTTTTCTATCGAATGAGTGCAAGAAACCACCCATTTATCAGTTTCAACTATCCAGTACAGTGGTCAGAATTTAGCAATTTTGCCAATTTCACACAAATTTCAAAAGATGCCATTTTCTGAATAAAGACATTCCTGGCACTAAAATGACATTTCCTCTGTTCATTAGTCACGTCTCAAGGCCCCTCTTACATTCTTTTGCTTTCCACTTTGAATTTTTATTCTCATTAAATCTTCTATTTTTTCTGTTATGCAGACTACTGCATTAGTGTAAAAAATGGTATAAATAATACTGACGCACTTGCGAAAGAATATTAGACTCACCAGTTGACGTGTATTGGACACATAGCATGGTTTGTTTACTTTTGAACTTTGGTAAAAATCGAACATTCTGCTACTTTGAGCTCAATTTCAAGGTACTTTTCATTGTAAAACCAGTCAAAATCATCTCTATTTCTGTAATATGTCTTCCATTCTATAAAATGAGACCAAGAAAACTAGAATACAACAATAAATACCATGCGAAAATACAGTGCAAAGTCGCTGTTTTATTCCAAAAAAACGGTCAGTTTTTTTTTTCTCATTATGCACTGTGTGCTGCAAGATTTTTTTTATACTGCGCATACTAACCACATAGACCCATTCTTTCATATGTAGGCCTACCAGCTTTCTCCCACTAGATTTGAGGGCGCTAGAATTTAGGCGTACTAGTACGTCAAAAACCCTGGGTCGTAAGCCATACTAATACGGCCGAAACCCTCAAAGGGTTAAACCATTCCAGACACCCAAAAATATTAACAGAAAATATGGACTCTCTGGAACCAATTAAAGACAAAAAGAGAGGTCCACTGTATTACCATGTATTGCATAACAGTAAATCTTCTATTTTTTGTGTGAATAAAAAATCAAAATGGAATTCAGGTGTAAAGCCTGGAAACATAACTAATGAACAAAGAAAATGTTATTTTAGTGGCAGGAATACCTACCCTGTTGTGAAATTGGCCAAATTACCAATTCTGATCACTTTATTGGATAGTTGAAATAGCAGACTGGGCAATTTCTTGTGCTCAGTCGATAAAACAGAACACATACTAGTGAAATAGCTAAGAATTTGGTCTACTGGAACAATGTAATTGGCCTAAAACAGGACTCAAAGTGGGCAAAATCGCTAGTGCATATATATTGTTAACGCAGCAAAATTTACAAAAGTGTAATTTCATCAAATTTCATACTTTTTGTTTTATTGCCTTCAGGAAAAGATTCTCTACCGTTTCATAAGTTTTTTTTTTTTTTTTTTTTATAAATTCTTGAACCCTGTGGACAATTTTCAGACTGGGGGGGGTCTGGACCCTCAACAGGTTAAACATTCAATTAATACTTCCCAAAATCTTTTCTACACACCTCCATGTGTGGGCATAGTACTATAAATCACTTCACAACCCACCTTAATCCTCTCATAATTCTTGAATTTATACATATATAATCTCTCTTCTCTTTCTATTATTGATAATTTAATATTACTGCTTCTCCATCCTTAGCTCTGATTCTCTCATATACAACAAACATAATCCCACTTCACTGAAATTCTTGTACCCCCTTTTAGCTTCATTTTACTTTGTGCTGGGACCTCCAGCTTTTAAACCTTAAACTGTCCAAATGTAGATCTACGTTGATGTGCATAGCGCTCTGATCGTAGATCTACATTTGTTACACAAGAAAGCATGTAAAATCGGACGTAAATCTACGTTTGGATATTTTAAGGGTTAATTCATAACCTTAACAGTCAATACTTTATCTGTAATACACCCTTGCACATTCAGACACCCCAGTTTCAAGCTTTCCTTTTGGAATTTTTAGTACATCGAATACAGAAGGGGGTTACTAGTCCCTTGCTCACCTTATATTATCTGAGCACCTCTGCAAAGACAGTGATTATGTGTGAGTGAGGTGAAAGTGTTGAATGATGATGAAAGTATTTTCTTTTTGGGTCACCCTGCCTTGGTAGGAGATGGCTGACTTGTTGAAAAAAAAAATGTTTGATATGGAAATAATTGTATGATCTCTCGTACTGTACTTTTTCCCTAACTGAGGCCTGTTGAATTTTTTTTTTTTTAAACTAGAATGAAAACTGAATAGGGAGCCTGGTTTGGGGAACTATCACTGTATTTACATTTAATAATTCCTTCATTAATCCCCTTTTATTTAATTACATTCAATTTTTTACATAGATTGCACAACGAAAGAAAGCATGGAAATCACGGGAAACATTTTCATGGACGGTAGGTTACTATAATGATAACACCAGTGTACAGTGTCTTATTCTGTCTTTGCCTGGTAGTGTTGGGTTGCTATTGTATGGGTTTGAAAAAAGCCACAACTAATTCCTCACACCATCTGTGAAAGATACATTTGCTGCAGTACTATTAGTGAAAAATTACAGTACCTACTAAAATTTGGAAGTATGGTTCATCCTTTCACATTGGACCTTGTGCACCCATATTGTCTAATGATAAAGTGCAGTACAGTAAGGAATAAAAATGAAGGGCCTAACATGTATTTTTTTTTTATATTTCACATATAAATAACATGATTACTGATAAACAGAAATATACTGTGCAATTACAAGAAAATATAAACTGAAGAATTTAATTTTGGGTGTGACTAAATACAGCAAACGCGCTCATTAACAGGCTAATAGAGAGGAAGAGTACGATAATGCAGAATGTCAGCAACTCCCCAATTATGAAATTAATATTTCATGATCTGACTGTCTTCTGAAGTAGTGGACTTGGTCCACTAATGCAGAAGACAGCCAGACACTTAGACTACAAGTATCATAACCTGTAGTACTACGGTACAGTAATTATACTTGCCTTTTTGTGGTAGAGTCACGATCAATAGTAGTGACTCGGAATAACTTGTATCGAGTGGGAGGCTCTGTGAAAATCGTGTAGATGGCCAATATGTAGAGGGCTGAGAAGACAAGGGAGATGGGAGTGTATGGCACCAGTTCTGTTGCCTGGCAACATAGCTGGGTCCGTACACTCGCATCTGTATTGGAGTTCATAGGTTCAAACCTAAAGCATTACACCCCATTCATATCTAGGTGAAAATTGCTGCTTAAAGCATATTTGAGGGCACTGTGAATTATTTGTACAAATACATCGTGGATGTGTGTTACCATAACTTGCTAGTACATGATTGACAGCTTAAGGGTTACAGTAATTCTATACAAGGAATTTCAACATAGCAGTAAGGCTAAAGATACAAGGTGGCAGCTAGCAAGGCTAACTTGTACACAGTACATAACATCAGTCTACATAAACACTAGATAGTTTGTAATACGTTCAATGAAGTTAGCCAAGAAAGTTGAAATGCACTTGCTTTTTTTGCTCTTGTACCTTTCAAAAGTATGGGATTACATGTAGCACACTAACACCGTAAATGTTTCCAGTAGTGTGGTTATGGAAGTGGCATACTAACTTGATGGAAATCTAATCTTTCTCTGCTCATTTTACTGGTTATTACTAATGATTATTTAGTATGGTGTCAATTTTTTTTTTTTAATAGTTGTAGTGTTCAATTTCTTACTATAATCTTGATCTTTCAGATTACCAACATATATATACTAATGTGTTGTGTTGTCTTCCATGCTTATCATAGTGTTTTATATTGCACATGTGTGAGAAGCATTATTTATGTTACAGTATTATATTAATTTTCACTAAACCTGCATGGGTCATAGAGGAGCAATATTTATAATACTAAGAGTAGCTAGAAATGCAAGTTTGCATCTGAATGTTAAGGGAAATGGACATTTTGCTGTAATTATAACAAAAATATAGTTTATTGAATACGTATTAAGTAGTTTGGTGCATTTTCTTAATATTGTAGTTCATTATAATCATGGGGAAACACTAATGCCATCATCAAGAGCAGGGCACATGGGAAAACGTTTGATCCAAGAAAGGGGAGGATAGACCCCACTTCCTTGGATCAAAACCCCTCCTTTAAGGGGATGTTAATCCCATATGGGGCATATAGCACACAAGAAATGGAAGTGTGGAGGGAAGGGTAAAATTTAATCTGAGGCAGAGGAAAATAGCTCCAATTCTTTAGACATGAATATATTTAAAATTTTGTGTTAGATACTGTCATAAATGATTCACAGTGTTATTACATTAACTCAATAATGCATACTGAGTAATAATAATATAAGTGATAAGCCATAAATTAACTAGTAAATATTCTACTCAAAATTTTATTTTCTTCATAGGGAAAGTAATTGATAAACTTAGAATAATATAATGAAACTAAGTACTACACCCAAAAAAGGATCACACAGTGTGCATTTAATAGAAAAAAAAATATTTTAGGCATTTTTGTAAGTTTAGTCTATCTTGAACTATACCTGACTTGACCTTATTTCTTTAACCTAAAATTAATGTTGAAGCTTTTCTCAGAATGCACTGGTGAAAAATAAAGAATTCCAATTTTTCTCTATATACAGCAAGGCATTTTGTAGTATATTTGACTATTTCTATGGTTTACTTGAGTGAAAGTATACAACATGATTGATTAGAAGTCTTAACATAAAAGTATTACATATCCACTATGTGTAATAGGTACAGACTGTATATAATCTCGGCATGATTTTTATTTTTCTTGTACTGTGTATATACGTATAAAGTTTTTTCTGTATTTCACATTTTAAGCAGTTACAGCTCGCAACCTCTTCAAGGGGGCTCTGGCAAGGTGAAGAGGCCTGGTCTGGGGGGAATTAGACCTGTCGGTTCTATTCCTAACCGAACTAATTACCCCCATCCCCGTTCCCTATCCCACCTCCATTTTTCCTTTCCTCCTCCTCCTCCCTCCCTTTTTCCCCTTCCTTTTTTTTTTTTTTTTTTCCCACAGACACGCTAGTTCCCTAGGTAGGGAAAGGGTACTGAGGTCCATCCCATTCCGTTGAGGTTCTTGGCGGTGGCGTAGTTTGCCGTGAAATCTGGATTGCCTGGGGATGTCCTGATCCCTCCCCGGGTACCCCGGAGGGTGGCTTTGGGTGTCTCTCGGGCGACGGGTGTATCTCTGGAAGCCACCTTTCGGATTCCGGGGGTGGTGGCCGAAGGAGGTAGCTTTGTGGTGGATTTCCGGCCGCCTCTTCTTTTTTTCCCCGAGGTAGCTCGGCAGTTTGTGAGGTTGCATCCCAGTTTGCCGTTTTACTGGCATGATGGGTGGGGTAATGGCACAGGTTCCATGCCGCATCTGCGCTACTTGCGGTGCTGAGGTCCTCTTGGGCGCGGGGGGAGATTTCTGGCCCTTTCATTCCTCCTAGGAACTATCCCCCCCCGGGTCCCCCCTTTTTTTATTCTTCTTTTTATTTTTATTTTCTTTTTTCTTTTTTTTTTCTTAAAAACAAAAAGAAAGAAGTAACCTAACCATGGCAGCCCTACTCCATGAACTTGCTACCCCCAGGCCCCTTCTTGATACCGCACCCCGTTCTGACCCCCCTTGTCTTTGGACCACTCTTCGGACATTCCTCATGCCTCTGTACCTCTTGCCGGTGCTGTTTCTCACCCGCTTCAGGTAACTGAGGCCTCGACTGACCCCTTTGATTTATCTGACCTTCGCTCTCCTCTGACTATGCTTCCGGCCTCCCCTCACGGTGCGGCAATTTTCAAATCGCCGGCCCGTTCCACGTCGGGCCAACTCTGGTCCCATGCCTAAACGCCAAGGACAATTACCTGCTGATGATACTTTTCCACCTTCTCGTTCTTCTCAGAAAAGATCGCACGTCCTTCACTACCTTTCCACGCTCAGTTTCAGACTGCCCAATGGACTAAATTCTTCACTTTACAACCGACTTCCTCACTGCCTATCTTTCTGACCACAGTATTGGCAAGGCACTCCTACGCCATGTTGGTAAAGATATTTCTCTTCATGCTCTTAAAAGCGGTTATGAGCATCGTCACCGTACAGAATGCTACCCAGGCTCATGAGCTTTCTCGTCTCTTTCCCATATCGATACTGTTCCTGTAACTATTGAAAAGCATCATTCCCTCAATTCTTTTTAGTGGTACCGTCATTCTGCCCCATACCATAGTTCAACAAAATTTCCAGACATGTGGCACTGACATTCTTGAACAGCTGGAACTCCAAGATTTTCCAATCCTCAAGGTAGACACTTACGTTCTTCCTGCCCGCGGGCAGAGACGATACCCTAGCAACGTGGCTCTTTTAACTTTTGACAGCCGTGAACTCCATCCTCAGTTTATGTAGCAGGACATTGGTTACAAGTTCGAAAGGTGATCCCTACACCGCAACAGTGTAGAAATTGCTGGCGATTTGGCCATCCAGCGAAATATAGCAGATCTATCACCAAACCCAGTCTATGGTGCCGATGACCATTCTAATACGTCTTGCAATCGACCTCCCTCTTGCCTTAATTGTCATGAGGCCACCCTTCGTACTCTCGCCTTTGTCAAGTCTACTTAAACAAGGGGGAAAATCCGTTACCTCAAAGGGGCAGAAGGTCTCCCTTATGCCATGGCAGTTTCTCATCTCCGCCTCCAAGGGAGACTACCTCGTGTTTCTTATTCCCGTGTTTCAAAACGTCCCCCCACTTCTGGTATCCATCTTCTGCACCAACCTCTGTGGTTACCTCTCCATAGTCACTCCTGTAGCTAATTCTTTTGCTGTCCTCAGCTCAGACGTCCCTACTTCAATGTCTAAAGTCTGATCTCGCTTCTTCGTGTTTCTTCTCACAAGCCTCAGTAGCGACGAGATCTCGTATGACACCTCCCCCCCAAATTTGTCCCTCTACTTCTCAAAAGTAAAAAAAAAGGTCCGTTAACACCCCCTCCCCAAATCTTCCACCTCCTCACTTTCCCTTCCCTGTCTCTGTACCTGGTTCTCCCCCTCCTACAGTGTGAGGTTCACCCTCACCTCGTACTGTACCTTCCTCCCCTGTTCCCTCCCAAGTTTCTTCCTCTTCTGCCACCTCCCGGGTTTTCTGCCTCTTCTGTCCCCTTCCACGCTTCTCCAGTTCCCTCCACCCTTTCGCCCCCCCTCCCTTTGGGTACAGTCCATTACAGTTCCAATCTTTACTCATCCTCCCCCTACCATTTCCAATATTGTCCCCCATACGACGTCTCTGAATTCCGAAACACTTGAAGAAATCTCTGAATATATTGCAGAGCCCAAACCATCAAGGGACACTGATCCACCCCTCCGCTCCTTCTCCTCTACTCCATCTGCGCAACTCCTTCTTCACAGCGCACCTTTCCCTTTTCGCTGCTTGAACGTTTTCCACTGCCTCGCATGTGGACTTTCTAACCCCTCTAGCCGTAGGAACCCTTACCTGCAGATTTCAGGTATCTTTATCATTTCCAATCATGGCTATTTTACAGGGGAAAATACGCGGCCTCAGGGGTAATCGGGGTGAGCTTCAGAGTTACTCTCCCAGTTTTCCCCTTTTGGGTGTTTGCTTACAGGAACCAAAATTACACTCTGCTGTTATCTCCCCATCTCAGGCTATAATTTATTGTATTCTTCAGATCCTTTTCCTGATGGGACCTTTAATGAAAGCCCCCTTTCTTCTACGCACTGATATTCCATACCATCAGCTATTTGTTCGACTTCGCTGCATTACACAGCAGCCCGTACCCACTTGCATAGGTGGTATACGCTCTGTTCTTTAAAATCTCTCTCCTTCTCGGGCTTTAAACTTATTCCGGATATTGCCTTTCTTGTTTGTCATTACCACCACCGATTCTGTTACTTGGTGATTTTAATGCCCACCTTTTCCTCTGGGGGGGGGGTCTCACTGTGATTCCCGTGGCATTCAGTTAGAGGTTTTTCTTGCCACCCACCCCTCCATGTTTTAAATACAGGTTCTCGCACCCTTTTTGATCCTCGGACTCACACTCTCTCTCTTGCATCGATCTCTCATTCTGCTCTTCCCTCCGCCGCATTTAGACTTCACTTGGTCTGTTCTTCCGGACTTACATGACAGCGACATTTCCCAATCATTCTTACTTCCCCTTCATATTCACCACCTCTTCGCATCCCATGCTGGCAATTTGATCAGGCAAATTGAACCTTTACTCACACCAAAAACTGTTTTTAGAGAGGCTCCTTCTTCGTCCTCCATCGATGAGCTTTTACACCTCTTCTCGTCCTCCGTTTTAACCGCAGCTTCTCATTCTATACCCCAAACTTCGGGCAGGCATTCTCAGAAATGCGTGCCTTGGTGGTCTCCTGCTTGTGCTCGTGCAGTACGTTTGAAACGCGCTGCATGGGGCAGGGACCCGGGACAATAGAACCACAGAGAGACTTCTTGATTTTAAGCAGAAGTGTGCGATCGCTCGCCGTGTCATCCGTGACGCTAAACGCACTTGCTGGCGAGATTTTTGTCTCCACCATCACCTCTGCTTCCCCTATGAGTGCAGTCTGGAAAAAAGTACGAAAACTGAGTGGTAAATATTCTCCTGACCCGGCTCCTGTTCTGCCCGGGTTGCCGGTGTTGATATAGCAAAACCCCCTAGATGTTGCCAATGAAACTGGCAATCATCTGGTCCTATTTCTCAGGGACTCCATCTATGCCCCTCATTTTCTTTCCTCAAAGTCTGCCAGAGAGTTTAGCACCCTTGGACTTTTCTTCTCTCAGGGAAAACAGTATAATGTGCCTTTTACACTTCAAGAACTGGAGGGAAACACTCTCAGCTTGCCGATCATCGGCAACTGGGCCCGACGACATTCATATTCGTATGCTACAACATTTACTCAGTCAGCCCTTGCAGTCCTATTATGCCTTTACAATCTTATTTGGTCACAAGGAGTTTCTTCCACAGCTGTGGAAATCCCCCATTGTTCTCCCTTTCCGCAAACCAGGCACTACGGGAAAATGAAACCCCCCACTATCGTCCCATTGCTCTTACCAGTGCAGTTTGCAAAGTGATGGAACGCCTAGTAAATAGACGTTTAGTGTGGTATTTAGAGACACACAACAGTCTCTCCCACTCGTCAATATGGCTTTCGTAAGGGACGTTCTACCATAGACCCCTTACCCACGCTTGGATACGTATGTTCGTAATGCCTTTGCGAATAACCACTCAGTTATTGCCAATTTTTTTGACCTTGAGAAGGCATATGACACAAAATTGGAGGTATAATATTTTAGCCCAAGCCCACCTCCCTTTGGCCTTCGAGGCAATCTACCATCCTTCCTTAAGAACTTTTTAACTGACAGGGATTTCCGTGTTAATAATGTGCTCTCCCCGGACTTTATCCAAGCTGAAGGTGTCCCCAGGATTGTGTTCTGGACACAACACTTTTTCTCCTTGCTATTAATGATTTGGCCTCTAGTCTTTCCCTCAAATATTTGGTCATCACTCTTATGTTGATGACTTCGCTATTGCCCCGTGCAGGCGCTGACTGTCACCTTATTACAGTTTCTCTCCAGCATGCAGTCGACCGTGTTTCCAATTGGGCCAAACCCCACGTGGGTTTAAATTTCCAGCACTAAAACTCACCAAATTACTTTCACTAGACGCTCTGTCATCTCCGATCATCCTTTGTACCTTATGGCTCCCGTATCCCTGAACGTGATACAGTCAAATTTCTGGCCCTCCTCTTTGATCATAGGTTATCCTGGAAACCTCACATTACCTCTCTGAAGGCAACTTGTCACAGCCGGCTGAACCTTCTTAAAACCCTTGCTCATCTTTCATGGGGACTGATCGTCGAACCTCCTTCGCCTACATTCCACCCTTATTTTATCGAAACTGATTATGGTGACCAGATCTATTCAGCGGCATCTCCTGCTACTCTCTCTAGCCTTAACCCCATTCATCACCAAGGATTTACGTTTATGCCTTGGTGCTTTTCGCTCTTCCCCTGTTGAGAGCCTCTATGCAGAAGCGAACGTTCGATCCTTATCCGATCGCCGTGGATGCCCATTGCCTTTGCTATATGTATGCTCTCATGATCTGCGCAATCCTTCCATTTATAGAATGGTCACTGATATTAGTAGACATTCATTATTTGTTCGCGCCCCTGTTTAACTCCGTCCCTTCTTCTTCGCCTTCATTCACTCTTGTCTCTCTTCAATTACCACCTTTCTATTTTACATGTAGCATCTCACTTTTCCCTACCCCCTGGGGAAATTCCAGCTGTTCGAGTCTGTTCTTTCTCTCTCCCTTGCTCGAAAGCCCAACTGTCTTACGGGTTGTTCCGCTCTCTTTTTCTTGACCTCTTTCCCCTCTCATTCTCATGCCATTGCTGTGTACACAGATGGCTCTAAGTCTTCTGACGGCGTAGGATTCGCGCCAGTGTTTCCGCACAGCGTCGTACAAGGGCATTTACTATCTTCGGCTAGTATTTTTACTGCTGAATTGTATGCCATCCTTACAGCACTTATCCGTATTGCACTATGCCTGTGTCATCATTTGTGGTTTTCTCAGACTCCCTTAGTGCTTTACAGGCTAAAACAAAATTTGATACACCTCACCCTTAGTCCTCCGTATCCAACTTTGGCTACGCCGCATCTTTACCAAGCATAAAGATATTGTTTTTTTTTTGGGTCCCTGGTCATGTTACGTACAGGGCAATGAAAAAGGCAGACACTGCTTTTTGGGGGTCAGCAGTACATGACCTACCAGTTTCATGAGAGGGATTCCATTTATGGACTATTTTTGCTGCAATATCTTCCAACTTCACACCGTTGGCAACAACGTGGTCTACTATGCTCGGCAACAAACTTCAATCTATTAAACCGAGTATAGGTTACTGGCTGTCTTCTTATCACCAGTGTCGAGGTTGGGAGACTACTCTCTCCAGTCTTCGCATTGGCTATACTCGTCTTACTCATGGATATCTCATGCAGAGGCGCCCTGCTCCTCTCTCTGAGAATTGCCAAGTTCCATTATCAGTCAGCCACATTCTGTTGGACTGCCCACTTTATCAACGAGCACGCAGAATTTACCTCCTTCGTCGTCTTCGCTCTGCTGCTCTCTCTTTACCTTCCCTTCTCGCTGATGGACCCACCTTTCATCCAGACACTCTCATTGACTTTTTGACAACAATTTACTTACTTCACAAATTCTGATACCTTCAGCCCTTTCTACTTCAATCTCTTGCTACCCTCTACCCCCGTACTATCCCCTGCCCCGCTGTTTTCTGTAACCTACTGATCATCCCTCCTCACTTCCTTCCCTACCCTGCAGCGCTGTATAGCCCTTGTGGCTTAGCGCTTCTTTTTGATTATAATAATCATACAGCTCACAAATTATTTTTAATTCCAGTAATCCTGTGCGAGGAGATGTAGCTTCCAGTTCCTACCAAGACAGGACACCCAGTAGAACATTGGCAAGTCATTTTTTTGAGCACTTTCCTGCACTGACTGCTCTTCAACCTGGGACTACATTGGCCATTGCCCATGCACATGCACGAGGGCCTAATGCTCATGCACAGGCTCTTGCACAAGCTAGATTCCATGGATTTGGAAAATAATGAAATATTTTAATATGTTGGTTTTGGTTGTAATTCCTGAGGGTTCAGATTGTTCTTTTACTGTAAATATTAGGAAAATATTAGCAAATTTGAATTATTCAATAGTGAGAACTGGCAACAAGTGCCATCCTCAGTAATGGCTGTTCACATTATTTTTTATATAAATATTTCTGAACAATTACTTCATTATTTTAAAATAGAGTTTTTATAGTCATAGCTTTAAGGTTTTTCAAACAAATGTTTTATTATTGTCCAAGTAATCTGATGAGCCCTTTTCAGTGGTAAAAATTTTAACAAGAATAACGAGTTAACTATTAAAACTTGAAATTAGTGGCATTTCATTGAATAATATGTCTTGCAAGATATTTGATGTTTTCTCGAGTATGTTGTTATATAAAAGAAACCTGTTCTCCGGATAGAGACTGCATGCTCATGTTGCACTGCATAGGAACAAAAAGGGAGCGAGAGGGAAACGGTAATCTATTTTGCAGTGATCTGCAAGTTCTTGTTTATGTAATTCGTCAGTGGTTTTTTTTTTTAATTTTCTAGTCTATGTACGACCCACACAGGTTCATTGTCATTTTTTTAATTTTTGCTAAATAAAGCAGAAAAAATTTAGTATGTCAAGTAGTATGCTAAAGCAACATTTACTTTTATTACAAATACAGTAAGAAAGGTTGTAATATACTGCAGCATTCTTAAGCAGTACAGGAGTAAACCAGTATTAAATTTCGGTATGAAAAACTGTTTTATACTATTTACAGTATAAGCTATTAAAAATTACATCAGTTTCAATGCTACACACATTTGGCTTTGGTTACAATATTAAAACTTATCACTTTTTATACAATAATGTTTCCTACCCTTTTATATAGATAATTTTTTATCTGAAAAATAATACTAAAGTATAATAATACAATTATTATATCCAATGTAAGTGAATTTTGAACATTTCTATCACTGTACATTTATTTAGGTTAAAGAAAAAATTTCTCCACAAGGTTTGCTCAGTGCTTCATGACATGAGAGGATGCACAGTTGGTGTGACAGATTTGTATCACTAGATGTTTAATATGTCATTACTTTTAGACAAAGCATTATTAGATTTTTTCTTGGGGAGGGGTTACTAAATTCATAGGGGTAATACAGCACTTTGGGAGGACAGGCAGTTCGGTTCGGTTCAGTCCAAGGGACTGGAGGTCATGGGCAATTCCTTGGCTAAAGAACCTTCACCCATATCAAGAAACCTCCCTTGAAGGGTTCAAAGAAATCCATGTACTGCAATGCAGTATTTATGAATAATAATTTATATACTAATGCAAATTCAGTGGACCCTTGAATTTCATCATCCCTTTTCTGTATGTAAAACGATAGTTATTCTCTTTAAAATGTATTTTTTGTTAATATTTCCCATAAGACATAATGTAAATCCAATTAATCCATTCCAGGCACCCAAAAATAACAAAAAATACATTCTGTAGATTTTTTTTTTTTTTTCAACAAGTCTCCCACCGAGGCAGGGTGACCCAAAAAGAAAGAAAAAAAATCCCCAAAAAGAAAATACTTTCATCATCATTCAACACTTTCACCTCAGTCGCACAATCACTGTTTTTGCAGAGGAATGATGAAATTCGAGGGCCAAATCAGAAAGGTCACGCGTGTAGTGCAACATAGGGCTACTTGATACTTCATAAATGACAAGCCATTATTTTAACAAATGTTTTGAGACCACTTACCTGGCAGGGTGCTTATTTTAGAGCAAAAATTATCTTTGTGCTACTGTACAAATGTATAAAAAAAAGTGCTAAACCTATACAAATGTATTGAATTTAATACTTTTAGGTACATAAAACTAGAAATAAATTAGTCCTCTGTTCTGCAAGGTTGTTGCTGTGTCACATTTTATGTTGGACCCTATTAATACTTTAACATTGTATTTCTATATGACTATTATAATTTCATATTTATTACTTAGTTTTCCTGTCTGTATTTTTCATACCTTTTTGTTTGCTATAGCTGCTTTGATGACAAAGTTTATTTTTATCAGTAAAATAGCATTACAAACACATGAGCACTTAATTTGCTGTAATTATGCAGTGAAGATAGTCAACTCAGCTATGATGTACTGCTGACAGTCGGAATAGTGTTAAGCAGTTTCACTAACATTATTACTTCATTCTTTCACATGAGCTACAGAAATGGATGGTCAGTGAACACTTAACCTAATTTTCAAGTGTGGATATGATATAGTTACAGATAAAGATTAATATTTGATATTTATGTCTGTGGTACTAGTTTACTACTAGCATAAGCATATTATTTATATAAAATTCTTATTTAAAATATGATTAGGTGACAAGTTCGATATACTGTAATGCCTTAGAAATCACTAAAAAGCTATTTATGAGATGTAGCCTATCACCTGATCATATTTTCAGAACTTAATTTTTTTTATACATAAGACATTCATTTGCAAAAGTTGACTTTTTAAACACAAAATGTATGCTAATGCACAGTGGAACTTCTGCCTTATGTACAAATCTATGCCTGATCTTGTGCAGATACTAAAAATTCATTTTGGTGGATATTTTTTGCATTCAAGTCACATGTAATATAAAATAATTAATAAATAAATTTTAGTATGGTCATCTAAGACAGGAAGCTCTTGTTGTTTAAGGCCCCTCATCACATTATTATAATAAAAAATAAGTGCTAAACCTACAAGGGTCATACAGCAGGGCAGAGAAGGGTGCAGGGGTATTGGGTAGCAAGAGATGGAGGTAGAGTGAGGAGTTTTAGAGGCATCATCAGAGTTTGTGAGGTAAAATCAGTTTGTCTCAGAGTCTGGGTTAAAGGAGGGTCCACCAGCAAGAAGGGAAGGTAAAGCAGCAACGCCGTTGGAGATGAATTCTAGGTGCTCATTGATAGTGGGCAATCCCACAGAAACTGGAACCTGACAAGTTTCACAGTGTGGAACAGGGCACCTCTCCATTAAATACCCGTGAGTAAGAAGAGTGTGGCTGATGTGAAGACAGGAGAGAGTAGTCTCCCAACCTCAACATTGATAACAAGATGGCCAGAAACCTATACTTGGTTTAATAGAATGTAATTTATGTAACATCAGACCAACACTGTTGCCAATGGGTGTGAAGGTGGGTAGTAATTACAGCAAATTAGTCTGTGAATGGAACACCTCTATGAAACCAGCTCATTCACTGCTGACTGTTCAGCAGTGACTTAAGAAATCGTAATGACGCGACGGGCTGGAGTTTTGAGACTCTATGACCGCGGGTTCAATCCCGGCCGGGGGTATGGTTTGTTCAGCAGTGCCTGCTCACTGCCCTTCCTAATCAGATGTCTGGTTAAATCCAATGGTACTTTACTGACCAAGCTGTGTGTACATCCACATTGCTGTACAAATTTAAAAAATTGTAGAAATCATATTATAATCAATTTAAGCACTAAACCCATAAGGGTATACATTAAAAAAGTCTCGTCTGTATTGGTGCTAGAGAGGGGAGAATATACAGTACAAGCCTAACAGTGCTCCATGGAAGCTTGGTCAAGCTAACCTGATAAACCTTTACTTGTCAGCATGCTTCTCTTCCACCCAAGAGGATCAAAATTTGCTTATGGTATTTATTTTCACTAGATGTGGACTAAGTGTACTTCGCTGCATGTTGCTTACCTGCCAGTCGTGCTCTGGCTAACACTAGTCTCTATAAAGGATTTAGCTTTTGTCACCCATATTACTGAAGAACTTGGGTGAAAATACTAAAGGCTGCAGCAAGAAGAAACACTATACACGTCTTTGGTGGCAAATAGCACTCAATTTTGATTATAATAATAATATGGTGGTAGCACCAGAGCCGGATTAAGAATTAGTAGGCCCCTGGGCTACAAATACTGTGAGGGCCCCAGTGATATTAAAAAAAAAAAAAAAAAAAATTACAACAGTCAAAAGTTTATCATATACATGATGTAATAACATACAATTATAAACTTGCAACAGTAACTGTGAACACTTTTCACTTAATCTCTGGAGGCCCTGCAGATGGCAGAGGCCCCTGGGCTGCAGCCCCTAAAGCTCATGCCTTAATCTGGCCCTGGGTACCACTCTCAAACATCCACCCACCATAGAAATATGCACGTGTGTAATATGAGGTTAAAGTGGTGGACTTTAGAAGTTCCACTGTAGTCATTGCATCTCTCAAGAGTAATTTACAGTAGCCAAGAAAGTATAGAATCTCATTTTTCAGGGCTTCCATCAATACTGTAACAGATAAAACCAGAAATAGTTCCAAAGTAAAATGTGCATATGGGTAATTTATAAAAATATACCTGTAAGCCAAAGCTGAGATCTCATTACAGTTTTAACTTTTCACTGCCAATAGTGGGTATAATAGCCATTGTTTTCACTTTTCATCTTTAGAGCAGAAAAAGGATAAACACTAGCATTTAAGAAGGCATTAAGTTTCAATTTGAGTGTTGCCATGCATTTTTAAATTAATATCTGCCATAGCCAAGACAAATTTGTTTCCAGTAAACACACACACACTAATAATATAAGTGTGTGAGTGTACAGCACACAGTGCAACGAGTGTTTGAAGCTCAATCATCTACTAAGTATGACAGAAATTATACTCTCAGTGCTAAACTTTCCAAATTAATGAACTGTAGTTTGACAGTAAATATTAAATATAAGCTGATCAAGCTATATTACATTATATAAATTTTAGCAATATTAAGTTAGACTAAGGTACTTGTGATGCAATTTAAGTCTCATACCATGTACAGCATGATCTCATGAATATGTCTAACTTTATTTGGTAGATATGTTCCTGAAATCCATCACATTCTAAACTGGTAGAAAGTGAACACTACAATACAGAGAAGACAGGCTTTCAAAATCTAATGTTAATCCCCACCAAAAATATAATTCCTACAAGTCTTTAGTAATGTACAACTTACCTCCCCTGTGGCAATAGTTAGGCAAGGCAATGTGGATGCTTGTTCCTCACAGGTCACTGGGCACTACATGTCGAGCTCAGGTCATGTTCCTGAAACCAATGCTATATATAGATATGTAATCTGAATAACATGGGAAAATAGGGTTAGGTCTTTGACACCTCAGAAAAAGTCAAATCTAAGCTCTTATTTCATCAAAAACAAGTTTTTAATATGTTACATTGTAGATGTCATTCCTTGTGGAGAGGCCTGATGTATGTGTGTACTCGCCTAATTGTGGTTGTGAGGGTCAAGTCACAGCTGGTCCCGCCTCGTCACTGGTGGGTGTGCGCGCGCATGCTCGTGAGCACATGCACACAAAAAATACCAGGTCCAGGAGCTATGACTCGACCCCTGCAATCACAGATAGGCAAGTACAGAGTAAATTCCCAATAAAATGTACTAATAGGGGGAAAGGGGTGTCCGCTTTACCAAAAATGCGTTATATTGAAAGTTACAATTAATCAGAAGTATTCTGCTTTATCAACTGGCTACCGGACATGAAGAAACTCCCAATGAAACAGAGTTAGTCTACTGTATTAACAGACTACCAGACATAAGAATAAACTAGATACAGTATTATAAGTACATGTACCTAAAAAGAGGGAGTTAAAAGTACAGTGGACCCTCAACCAACGATGGCACTGTCTAATGTTAAATCCAACTAGCGATACATTTTAACGCAAAAATTTTGCCTCGACTAGCGCTAAAAAACTCGACCAACATGATTCGTTCCGTTGGAGACGCGTCCACTTGTGGCCTGAGCGTGCCAGTGTTTACAAGCCAGCCAGCCAGCCACCGACGTCCCATCCAAACATACAATCGGAACATTTCATATTATCACAGCGTTTTTAGTGATTGCGCCTGCAAAATAAGTCACCATGGGCCCCAAGAAAGCTTCTAGTGCCAACCCTACAGCAAAAAGGGTGAGAATTACTATAGATATGAAGAAAGAGATCATTGATAAGTATGAAAGTGGAGTGCGTGTCTCTGAGTTGGCCAGGTTGTACACAAAACCCCAGTCAACCATCGCTACTATAGTGGCCAAGAAAACGGCAATCAAGGAAGCTGTTCTTGCCAAAGGTGCAACTATATTTTCGAAACTGAGATCGCAAGTGATAGAAGATGTTGAGAGACTGTTATTGGTGTGGATAAACGAAAAACAGATAACATCTCTCAAGCGATCATATGTGAAAAGGCTAGGAAGTTGCATGACGATTTAATTAGAAAAATGCCTGCAACTAGTGGTGATGTGAGTGAATTTAAGGCCAGCAAAGGTTGGTTTGAGAGATTTAAGAATCGTAGTGGCATACATAGTGTGATAAGGCATGGTGAGGCTGCCAGTTCGGACCAAAAAGCAGCTGAAAAATATGTGCAGGAATTCAAGGAGTATATAGACAGTGAAGAATTGAAACCTGAACAAGTGTTTAATTGTGACGAAACAGGCCTGTTTTGGAAGAAAATGCCAAGCAGGACCTACATTACTCAG